CTCACTCACTCACTCACTCACTCACTCACTCACTCACTCACTCACTCACTCACTCTCTCACTCACTCACTCACTCACTCACTCACTCACTCACTCACTCACTCACTCACTCACTCACTCACTCACTCACTCACTCACTCACTCACTCACTCACTCACTCACTCACTCACTCACTCACCAACCCACCCACCCCCACGCACACACACACACACACACACACACACACACACACACTCACTCGCTCACTCACTCACTCATTGCCCGTCTCTCCTTTCCAGGCGCTTGTGTGACGGTTTCAAGTGAGAGACAGCGAAGCGCCAAGGTTCCAGTACCCCGGAAGTTCCTTCTACACCTCCTTTTGAGTAACTGTCATTTGCCACCGAGCTCACCAACGCAAGCCCACAAACCCATGAGCCAGAACCCCAGAACTGTGCTGCCCGTTGCCGTTGCGGCTTTGTTGCAAGAAAAAAGCACCGGAGTGTCAGACAAAATTGCTTGTTTGACCAAGACAACATGAGCAAATAAGGGCCCTGCCGCGCTAGTTTTTGGGGGGAAGTTGTTTCCCCCCGCGCCCCCCACCCCCCCATCACTCTCACCCCAACACACATAAACACGGCTGCAGTAATTGTGCCAATTGCTCTCTCGGTTGTTACGATTGAGACAAAGAAGCATCCTGGGTATAATTCGTTGCCACTTCAGCTTGGAGCAAAACCCACAGTATGAATTTCATTGATTTGGGGACCATGTGGACAAAGTGTTGCTCGGATCTATGTCCGACCACTCGATTGTTCCCGAATTCATCCTGCTTGCTGAGGCTGAAGGTCTCCGCGAAATGCCGAGCATCACTGGAGCGCATGAAGCCGGGCGACACAACTTTCAACAGCGGCTTGCCCTCTGGCTGGCAGCTGAAGCCCCCCAAAGGAGAGGATGTCTCTGTCGAATTGCACCCGTAGCGCTTCGGAGAAAATTGAATTCGGACAAAGTCTGTGGATGGAACGCCGTCAACTCCCTCAGAAGGGTAGTGATGTTGGAACAAAATGTTCTTCTTGGACGCAAATGCGTTCCACACAGCCTTTTGTTTCGAAAGTGTCTGCAAGTAGGTTATGGAGAGGGGCAGCTGATTGTTTGCAATGAGCTGCTCAAACATACCTTGTGTGTTGTGAACATACTCATGCAACACCTGCCCCAAGCATCGCATGGAATGCTCTCTGCAGAGTGGGGGTTGCCAGGTGAAGTCTGTACAGTTCCACGCCGGGTCTCGACACAGGCCGTGCGGATCCGCTTCCGGCTCACCTTTCTGCACTTCACTGGCAAAAACCCACTGCAGGCGTGGGGTCTGAAGATACTGATAGAACTCAGCCTCTGGGTGTATGGGGTTGGCGAAACCACTAACATGTCTCAACCACTGTTGTTTGGCTTTCCTTTTAAATACAATTGCTTGGCTGTTTGAACATTTGTTGCCGCCTGGCCTCTGGGAATCGCTCGATGGTGTGCCGCAAAGTGTACATGCCGTCAAAGGACACCATGGCATGGCTGCCGGCAATCACCGCAGAGCCGTTTCGAACCCAGGTATGAAGCTCTCTCTCCTTCCCACCCTGCCACACTTCGAAATTGACATCTGCCTCCCCTAAAGATAAGGAGCGAATGTCTTGAGCGGGTGTGGTGTCAGGATACACACGCTCGACGTCGTACATCAAAACCTCCTCGAGGAGAATAGCAGCAACCTCTGACACAAGACTATGCGATGCCCATGATCGTTTGATTAATTTGAGTGTCTGATCTTGCCTTGGTCTTGGCGAAATATCCAAGTTGCACTTCTGTGCAATCTGTGCGGACACGCCAAGCAAGTCGGCACATGCTACAAGGCAAGCAAGACGGGTCAATGTGCGCACATTGGGCATGCTAGCACCTGACCGAATTATTGCAATTATCCGAGCAAACGCTAGGCAAGCTCGAGCTGGAAAGCCAAGCGTGTTCAAGTTCACAAGATAGCGAATCAACCCCACATGTGCTGTTCCACACCTGTGCTGTGAATTTGGCTCTTTGCAAGGAAACGTGGCGGGCTGCACATGTTTTCAAGCCGCATCTGTTTGAGAGCTCTCCACAGTTGGAACCTAGAGGAAAGGCCAGTTTACGCTCCCTAGCGCATGCGTGTCTTCTGCGACCAGTACCAGTGCACTGCAATATTGGTTTAAGCTTCGGTCGTCTATGGGCTCTCCACTAGCCTCCGCATTGCCTGTCAAACGGAAAACGCGCAGCACAAGGCAACAAGCAGGTTCGCCTGTGAATGTCGCAGGATCCTCCCCCATTTGCCGCAGTAGTCCCTGACCAAAGCTTCCACAAGGCGGCACGCGCACCCCTCATATCCCAACCTCAATGCCAAAGTAGGTGTCCGGTGGGTATGTGTCTTCAGTGCCTGCCAGCCAAAGCCGGCCAAAACTTTGAGCACATGGTATGCAGGGGGCGCTTTTCTGAAACTGCTCCAGCTCGGAATCGTTCAGCAAGCAGTCATCCAGAATCCTTAGTCTTCGATTGAGAGTGCCCACGCTCTGACAAGCGGACGGGGGCCCTGCAGCGTGATCAATCTTTCCCGCATCTCCGGTCCGCCGATGAACACGATCTCTTGCCGTCGATCCCCCCAAGGTTCCTGTCATACGTAGCCAAATCTGCTCAAGGTGCGCAAGTTTCTCCACGCATGTCCGCAAGGCGAATCCTTTAGATTTCACAGGCCCCACAGCCCTTCTCACATGGCTGTGGGTCAAATCCTGTACCCCTGGTGAACATCAAAATAGGTGGCAAATGGATGTTAGATTCTGCCCCATGGCCACATGTGCCACACGTACCTGCCATTTGTCCCTTCGGGCTCGTTCGAACTCGCCCTTGGCGCCAGGGTAGCCTGGGAGCCGATCGAAGCTGAACCAACACTCCGCGGTTCGAGCTGGGAAGCCGGGCTAACCTGAAAATGAAGCTGGTCAGGTTTCAGAACAGACCACCACCAGTCCTGAATTTGCAGAGCGATCGCTCTCCTTAAAGACAACAATTGCCACCCCGCCTTGGGCAGAACAGAAAGAGATCTACCAGCGTGTGACCACTCATTGACCTCGCACACGCGGAAATCATTTGACAAGAGCGGATTGATGTTCCTTGACGCGCATCTGAAGGCCCCGGCACGAAACGGCTCCGAGTCAACCCAGCAAAAGCCCTTCGAGCGCAGCACAGGCTTCAGCGCCTCGGAGAAAGTGGCGAATCTGAAGGATGGGAACGCGCCGAGACCAGGACGGCCCGTATGTGCTCGGAATCCTGGCAAACGGGTGCACCTCAACATTGGGGGACCTCAAAAAAGGCAACGGCGTCCTTTTGGTTTTCCTGTTGGTTTCTTTCCATTTGACCATGGTTCAAAACCAATGGTACCATTTTGGGATAGGTGCACCACGCATTTTAGAACCTATTTTAGTGGGGATTGCGATCATCACTGGGGGTTGACCCATGGCTATTTGACACCAACAGGCGGTCGTGGAGGGAGCACGCCTCTGGCTGCAGGTCTGCCAGGCGGAAGTCAGACCTCTTCTTCGGCAGCGGCCACTGCTCAATGAGCCTGCCGAGTCAAAAACGAAAGCCATGGACGAGAGGAGCAAACATAAGCCAGGCCAAGTAGGAAGCAGAAGCAAGCGGTGATCCTTGGAGGGGAGGGAAGGGTAGAGGAAGCTTGGAAAGAGCCAAGCGGAAGAGAGGAAGAGAGAGCGAGAGAGAGAGACAGAGAGCGAGAAAGGGGGAGAGGGAGGGCGGGTTTCGGAATGATTGACGGTGAAGATCGTGTAGGCACTTGCCGGGCCACAAGTGGAGGAAACCGCCTGACAGCAAGCCTTGTTGGGTTGCAGCTCCAAATGACATGGGTGCCTTGAATTGCTGTGGGTTTAGGTCTCTCTCTCTCTCTCTCGCTGTCCATTTTTGTGCTTGCAAGCTTGCAAGCAAGCAAGCAAGCAAGCAAGCAAGCAAGCAAGCAAGCAAGCAAGCAGGCAGGCAAGCAAGCAAGCAAGCAGGCAGGCAAGCAAGCAATAGCAAGTTTGCTTGCTTGCTTGCTTGCTTGCCTGCCTGCCTGCCTGCCTGCCTGCCTGCCTGCTTGCTTGCTTGCTTGCTTGCTTGTGTGCTTGTGTGCTTGTGTGCTTTCTTGCTCTGTGCTTGCTGCACTGAAAACGGACAAATGCAACAATGTAGAAAAATCTCGGTCAGTAGTGACAATGCAGTGGCCGCTTGGAACAATCCCCATGCGAATCTGCTATGCGCCGTGTTCTGTCCTTCCTCGATAAGTCAAACGTCCTTTGAGCTAAACCTTCCGGTCACGGGGGACATGTCAGCTTGACAAAGGCCCATGAAGCGTTGCCTTTGAAGACGCTCTGCACTGAAAGGTCTTCGCCGCTGGTATGTGAAGGTGCGGATGCCTCAACGCTTCCAAAGGTCTCATTTGTCATCTCATGGATTTGGTGTTGATCAAGCTTTGAAAGGTCCTTGGCCAAAAACGCACATACATTAACTCCTCTGTTCTGCAATGTACATGCTACTACTCAACATGCTGCTACTCAACTTCCCGCAGCACTGCGGCTTGTTTTCAAGCTCCAGCTTTTTGGATTCACGTTGTACTAAAGCGGAATGTGTTTGATATCAGTCTGCTAAATCCCAAGTGAGGTAATCTGGCCCAGCTCACCAAAGTCGAGTGAGTTAACAGCTGCAATCGAAATGAGGCATACGCCGAATCTTCTGCCAGCTTCCTTGCCGCTTCTTGACCTTTGCGCTGAGCATCCAAACGCGATTCATCTCACAACATACTTGGTAAGGAAACAAAAACTCAGGACTGCAACTCTGCCAATACAGTCATGTGTCCTTGCTTCGCTGTTAGTCAGTCTGTGGTAGCTAGCCACAGGGATGGCTTGCAAATAGAATATACCAGCATAACGCCAGCTAGCAAAAATGTGTTGTCAGCCAAAGAATGCCATTCCAATACAGCAACACACACATGCCACGCCACCTGGCAGAGCGGCCAAAATAATTCTCGCAACAAAGTGCTCCGGCAATTCGCTGTCAAAAATATGCGTAGATAGCACTGCAACATTGACACGGGCGTGCCAAAGTCTTGCTGGATTTGCTTGACGCGCCGCCTCTCAGAGTCAATGTTTCAGTAGATTTGCTTGTCTCAGGATGGCTTCGCCAACACGACATGATAGCCAAAAGGGTTCCGGGAAACCTGTGGGAAAATTACGGCACCACGCCGGCACGCCAGAAGACCCCTGGAACAGCGTCTCGGTCTCCAGCAGCACCCTGCAACAGCACCCTGTGGAACTCTGACTCCGCAGGCAGCACCCTGCAACCTGAGTCTCGGCCTGCAGCCAGCACCTTGCAGCAGCAGCCTCAACGCAACTGAGCCTCGGCCTGCTTCAACACCGCAGCACCCTGGAACAGCACCCTGCGCAACTCCGAGTCTTGGCCTACAAGCAGCACCCTGTTATGGGCCGAAACTCCCTGCAAGCGCTACTAAAGGCCAAGACTCAGATTCTACAGGGCGCTGCTGCAGGGCGCTGCTGCCGTGCGCTCTGCAGCAGCACCCTGCCCGCCCCCTGCAGCCCTGCGCTGCGCAACTCTGAGTCTCTGCCTGCGCAGCATTTGCGTGCAGCAGCAAGTGGCAGCGGCACCCTGCAGCGGCACCCTGCAACAGCACCTGCGCAACTCTAACCTTGGCCTGCATCAGCACCCTGCACTGTTGCACCCGCGACACGCGCAACTCTGCGTCTTGGCCGCAGAGCACCAGCAGAGCACCCTGCAGCAGCATCTTGTGGATCTCTGAATCTTGGCCTGCAGCAGCACCCTGCAGCAGCACCCCTTCTTTACTTCCCTATTGCTTTCAGCTACACCACCACCGCCACCGCGGACGACGACGACCGCCGCCGCCGCAACAACAAGAACAGCGCACAGTCCAGCAGAGCCGGCGGGCGGAAGCTTGCAATATGTAGGAACTGTAGTTTCACTTCGAGCCCGCTCCGAAATCGCTCCGGGCCCGCGTCGGTACAGACATCGCGACCAAGGTGGTTTGCGCACTTCGGCCGGCTTCTACTCCCTTGTTTTCGTGTTTTCCAGGTTTTTGTAGCTTTTTCACACGCAGTTCCATCCAGTCTCACAGATTGCATTCTCAGAGAAGCGAGCTCAATTACCATAGTACAACTAGCCATAAAGAAGGTCAAACCGTATTAACAACAAAGAAACAGAACAATAACCAACAAACATCAAACTCATCAAAACAACAATCAACAAAACAACCAAGCAGGCGAGGAGGCAGGCAAGCAGGCAAGCCGGCAAACAAGCGCGCAAACAAACACAAACACACGGGGTTGCAAACAAACGAAGGAAAGAAATAATTAATGAATGAACAAAGCAACTCAGGAACATTCAGGCAAGCAAGCGAGCAAGCAAACAAACAAACAACAAACAAACAAAGTCGCAACAGAACAACAAAACAAACAAACAAACAAACAAACAAACAAACAAACAAACAAACAAAACCCAGCCAACCAAACCAACCAAACCAACAAACCAAACAACAGGCCAAACAACCAGACAACCAACCATCAAACAAACAAGCACACCGGCCAACACAAAAAGCAAGCAAGCACCCAAACGACCGACCGATCAACCCACCAACACCCCGACCCACCGACCAACTTACCAGCCGAACCACCGACCACCAACGGCTTTCCTCAACAAACAGCAGCAGCGCACCGACAACAGCAACGGCAAAGACAAACAATATCTGCAGCAGCAACGGCAACATGAAAGCTTGACTGTCTGGCTGTTTGTGTGTGTGGGCTAGGTTCACGACGTCTGGAAGATACCCGGGGCGCAGGGTCTGCAAGAAGCAGTCATTGGCAAGCTACCTGCAGCTATCCGCCGCTGTCACAACTCTCCAAGTCACGCGCTGAATCTTAGGCGAAAGCTTTCATCCTCAGCAGCGTGAGGCTCATGTTCTTGCCTGCGAGGGCAAGATTCATCCAAAGCCAACGAAAAACTTGGCGTGTTCCTGGGGTCGAAACTCTGGCTCATTTGGCTTCTGCTTTTCCCAGAGATCTTCCCACATGCCCTGCACAACAGCACACTGACAAAGACCCCCTACATCCGCTGCCACTGCGCCTTCCACAGAATGCTGCTTCATGGACTTTATACTGCCACACTGCCTGCCTCCTGACTTTTCTCCAGGAAAACGGCCACGTGCCGATCATCGCCTGCCGCTTGCTGGCAAAGGCGGGGGATCGATCTGCAGATCTGCCTTCTCCATCCAGTTCCCAGAGCCATTCTTCGATACCCTCGCAGCGCAGCTCTGCGCAATCAGCCGGAGATTCGACAGGAAATGATTTATCTATTTCCTGTTTTTCTTTGTTGCCTTTTCCCGAAAGCATGGCGAAGGGTTCTTCCGCTGGGTTCACTTGAGTTGTTCTCATGAGAGTCACTACAAGGTGTCATTGCAAGGAATCATCATCATGGAAGTCATTGCAAGGAGTCATTGCAAGGAGTCATTGCAAGGAGTCTCATTGCAAGGAGTCATTGCAAGGAGTCATTGCAAGGAGTCATGAGAGTCATTGCAAGTTGCAAGTGCATGGAGCCAAGCGCAAGTTTGCAAGTGCATGGAGTCAAGTGCAAGTTGCAAGTGCAAGGAGTCAAGTGCAGGTTGCAAGTGCAAGGAGTCAAGTGCAGTTAAAATCTCTTCTTAGGGCGGCGGGTAGTGCTGACGACACTTTACGAAAATCGACCCTCTGCAGGGATTGGCGTGGTCGAGGTGCAAAAACTCGAGGGTTTTTTTTTCCGATTTTGTTTGGGCCCGGGCGACCCTCTGCGGGGATCGGCGTGGTCGAGGTGCAAAAATTCGAGGAGTTTTGCGATTTTGTTTTGGCTCGCGCGACGCTCTGCGGGGATCGGCGTGGTCGAGGTGCAAAAACTCGGTTTTTCGCGATTTCTAGGGCGCTCGCGCGACCTTCTGCGGGGATCGGCGTGGTCGAGGCACAAAAACTCGAGGTGATTTGCGAATTTCTGCGGCGCTCGCGCGACCCTCTGCTGGGATCGGCGTGGTCGAGGTGCAAAAACTCGAGGTGTTTTGCGATTTCTGCGGCGCTCGCGCGACCCTCTGCGGGGATCGGCGTGGTCGAGGTGCAAAAACTCGAGGTTTTTGGCGACTTTTGTTGTTCGAACTGGTCCTCCTCGTGTTTCGCGCGCCTGCTCCTGGGACCGGCGGGTCGCGGGTCCGATTCAACTTGCGCAGACCAACTTGCACCGACCAGTTTGCGCAGAGCGCCTTGCCTAGAGCAACTTGCGCAGAGCAGCTTGCACAGAGCAACTTGCAGGGAGCAACTTGCGCGGAGCAATTTGCACAGAGCAACTTGCAGGGAGCCACTTGCAGGGACTAACTTGCACGGAGCAACTTGCGCGGAGCAACTTGCGCAGAGCAACTTGCACACATAGCAACTTGCGCAGAGCAACATGCGCAGACCAACTTGCACCGACCAGTTTGCGCAGAGCACCTTGCCCAAAGCAACTTGCGCAGAGCAACTTGCGCAGAGCAACTTGCACACACTGCAACTTGCACAGAGTAACTTGCGCAAAGCAATTTGCGCAGAGCAACTTGCACGGAGTAAGTTGCACAGAGCAACTTGCAGGGAGCCGCTTGCAGGGACCAACTTGCACGGAGCAACTTGCGCGGAGCAACTTGCACAGAGCAACTTGCACAGAGCAACTTGCGCAGAGCAACTTGCGCAGACCAACTTGCACAGACCAGTTTGCGCAGAGCACCTTGCCCAGAGCAACTTGCGCAGAGCAACGTGCACACACTGCAACTTGCACAAAGCAACTTGCGCAGAGCAACTTGCGCATGTCCCAGGCGTTGGGCCGACCTCGCTTGCGATGTTATGCTTTCGGGCCGACCGTGGTCTAGTTTTTGGAGGGGGGGGGAGGAAGGACTTGGCCAATTTCCTGTAGGAATTCCAGCTGGTGTCCACCTTATTGCGCCTGGCGGAGTGGTTTGTCCTGTTGAAAGTTGTGACCGCTTCCGTGATTGTTGGACAGAGGGATAGAATGAAGTGCTGCATCAAGGACTCCACAAGCCCCCCTAACAATAAACCCTCGCCTTCAGCCTGCCGAAGAGCTTGCCTTGCAGTCGGGGCACTTTCTCGCCCTTCACCTGCGAAAGCGTGCACGTTTTCAGCCCTGCCGTTCCTTCAACTTGGAGGCGCACCCAGATCTGTAGCCATGTCCTGCCAATGTCAAAGTTGATGTCCTTTGACTTTGCATCTGCTGCGACCTATCGAGAATCGAAGATCACTTTGGTACAATTCGTGGAACGGTCGCAAGCATGAGGATTGGCCTCTGCGACAGACAAGTATGCCCAGGAAAACCGGGAAGACTGTTACTTTCGGGGTGTTAGTTGTCCTCACTGGCGGCATCGCACATCATGGCCCGGACCACCTGCCCGGCCTTGACTCGGATCTGCAAGGCATGAGGACTCTGTGCCCATCGATAGTTCCTTCCTGCTGCAGTGTCTCACACAATGCTTCAGACATGAAGAGCAGGGCCGCCTTTGCCAAAGTCTGGAAACTTCAAGCCATAAGGAATTTCTGGAAGAAGCTCGATGGGACTGACCTGCGTGCTGCATTCCCAGAAAACATCAGGCGTTCAGTCGGAAGCCTTGCCGTAGGTGCAGCGAATGAGATCGGCGCTCCCGTTCAATGCCCTTAGAACCTACAAACAGGAGTCAAAGAGCAGGTACCGTCGAAGGAAGGATTGCCATGAATCCCTTGTATCAAAGTCTGGCACTGCGGCTATGTTATCTCCATTACTGTCAGGGTTGGCGACATTGAAGGTCTGCCCAGCCGGCCGGCCTCCTCTGATGTTGCCAGCTCATCATCAGTGGCAAGGTCGATCTTGTTCATGAGCCTTGCCACTTGTAGCGGCATCTCTGCATGCGTGCTCTTTGTAAAGCAACCCAAAAGAAAAGCTCTCTCAACCGCTTACGTCAGTGAGCTCGGCAACCAAAAGTTCATTGATCAATTCCCGTGCTGGGCTTGCCACACGAGATCTGCTTTCTCCACCTGCTCCGCCAACAGCTGTCCCACGGTTTCCAAGCCTGCGCGGTGCCCCCGTCTGCTAGGTGTCCATTGTAGCCGCCAAAGGATGAATCTTTTTACGTCTCTGAGACATTAACCAGACAAAGCTGCACGCTGCACTTCGGCATCCCGACCTGAGTGTTGCGCTGCCTCTTCGTTCCTCGCTGTTGCCTGATTGATTGCAGCCACAAAGTGTGTGTGCATGTCAACATACGGGACCTACCCCACTGCAATAGGAGCCCATGCCAGCTCTTGAGCCAAGGCCTTGCGGCTGTCGAGCCAGTCGTTGCCAAAGAGGCTGGCATCCACCACTGCGATGGTGCGCTTGATCTCCGTCATCAAAGTCGCCGGCATGCCTCGAGTCATTACTGAGTCACGCTAGAGCGCAACTTCGTCAGCGCACTGAGCCGATCACCCACCTCGACCCCGATGTCCCAGTGGCGTTTGATGGCTTCCGGCCTTGGCTCAAGCTTCCCTCCACACCAGGGAAGAAGTGAAGAAGTGCTCAGGCAGGCACTCGCCAACGCCACTGAGCTCAATGACCATGTGGTGGAAGGGTCTGGCATGCAGGATTCCATTTTCCAGAATGGTAGGTAAGCAAGGAAGCGACCCTTCAAACCACCAAATGGCAAATAGGTCTGTATGGTAAGTGCGTTCCACTGCCGATTCGCCAAAGGACCCTACAGACTTGACACCGAACTACATCGATTCAACCCCTAAGGTTTTCAACACTCGCAAAACATCTTTCTTGTTGGTTTCCCGTGGACCCAAAGCGTGTCTATTGTTGAGGGTTCCTTCTTGTTGGTTGGTTTTGAAGAGAAACCAAAAAGCAAAACCACGATTTTGGGTGGTCCCGGAGTCCCCTCCAAAAAAAGGGATACACCCAAAAGGGTCCCAGGGCCAGAGGGGGGGTCCGACCTGGTGTACGATCTGTTCACCAACTCCTGCACCGAGGCCACCAGGTCGTCGGAGGCAGTGCAGCAGACCTGAATCCGGAATCCCATCGACGCGGTTTTTCGACTCGTTTTTTGCCCCCGAAGTGGTTGGCTTCCCGGTAAGCCGCCCCAAAAAGGCGACCTCCCAAAAAGGGTACCTCGCCACAAATGGGGCTCTGACGCATCCATTGGCCAGCTCCGCGATTTCGATGGTGCCACTTCTCTCGTACCTCATGGTACCACTCACAAACAATACAAATATGGGTACCCATATGGCCAAGATGCCTCTGAATCAATTGGGCGTCGATGTTCACAGCTGCGACATCATTCACCACAACCCCTAATCCTCAGGTTTTCTGTGGCAGCTTTGGTCTCAACGGTAGCAGCTGGAGACCACTAGAGAGCTTCACCGCTCTCTTTAAGCTGTCGGCGCACGCCTTCCTGATTCTCGAGGATATGCTTCAGCAGCGAGGTCTTGCCTCCGGATTCGGAACGCCTCGCTTTCGCGTGTTGATCTCTCCCCTGCCTGAGCCCAGAAAGCCGCTCAAGAGTGTCACCGGTGTCCGTGTCACATCCTCGCATCCCAGCCAGGCCATGTCAGTTGAAGGTGATACATACACAACTTTCGGCGCATCTTGGTCCAGCCTTGATCTTTTCCAGGCGTTCCTCCGTGTTGGTGAAGTCAAGGATGGTTGTCGGTGGCCCCTCCTCCTCCTGAACAGTCTCAGGGGCGTGTGATGAGGTGTACCTAGATGAATGCCTCTTCATCATGAACCTGGGAGTAGCCAAGCCTGCCGTGTGCAACACAGAGCGCGTGCAACAAAGGTGCAGGCTCAAATATGAAGCCAGCCTCTTGGAGCTTGTGGCACCACGACGTACTCCTGCGTCGAAGGGGGCATGCCAAAATTGGTGTTTTGTCGTTCAAAGGGAAGCAAAAAGGGAAGCAAAAAAGAAACCGCATTTGTTTCGGGGTCCCCCTTTGACGTATTGCGCAAGCCAAAGCCAGCCTGACGTTGAACTCCTGGATCCCTTGGACCATTTCAGGACAGCCGATAACTCACACGCCTTTGGGCCCTGACGCGGACAAATCTCTTGCGTGCACTCAACCCGGCTGCGCCTTGGCTCTATCCACTCTCCACCACTTGTCACATTGAAGGGAGATTGGTGTGCGTGCATACCGATAGTTCTCCATTCTCCCGCTCTCTGTCTCTCCGCATGCTGCTTATCGTCCTCTCAGCACACAAGCCTCGAAACGCAAGTAGCTGTACTGAAAAAGCCTTGCACCACGCATACACAGCGTTCAAGAGAGCTGATTCCGACTTTGTTGTAGACAGCCAGCAGTTTCAGCATCTTCGACTGCCAGTTGCGTCATTGGCTGTAGAGAGTAAAGATATTTCATGTGGTCCATTCTACCTTGCAGAGCAGGGGCATGCTGCACCAGTGTTGTTGTCTTTCGTGGAGCCCTTTCTACTACAACCTGGGTGCTGCTTTTTGCGAAGTATCCAGGTGGTGTCTCCAAATGGGGAAACGCAGGTGGTTTCCCTTTGATTTCCCTGCAAACAATTAACAAACCGTCCTGCCTCCCACCCTGTTGGATTGGGCTGCAACTTTGAGTGCGTCGATCGGGTGAGCTCTGTGGCTTCAAAAACCTGTCCATGACACGTGTGTTGATCGTAACTGGCGTGTCTTGACATCTCTCTTTGACACTACAATTTACCAACGTCTCGTGCGGTTACGCAGCACTTGCTATATTATTAGTGGAATCATCGCTCCTCATCGCTCCTCATCGCTACAAAAACCCGGGCAGTTCTGAGGTGGAGCGCAGGCCGGCAGCATGCAGGCCATAAGCCCTGCATCGATCCAAGTAAAACTCAGCGCGGATCTGTGATTTCCACTACCCCCAAACCACTCCCACTGGAAAACGGAGCATATACCTCTTATATGGCTACTTTGTCCCTTAAACCCTCTGGGGTAGCTTCGGGGTAGTGCAAAACCATCTAAGGAAAATTCAGCACACGTGCAGTGAAGTCCTTGTCCAGGAGAGGCCCGTGGACCATAGTGGTAGTGGCCATGACCAGCTCGGCCATGGATCTGCTTTCCGAGCAGAGGAACGAGGAACGTGTCTGCACTGCCGAGCTCTGACATACCTGGCTACAGTCAGGCCAAACAATCACTTGAGACAATTTGCACAAGTGAGCCCGCATGGACTTTCACAAACGGCAGCCTCTGCCGGGTGCTCGTCAGCTGCGCAGCATCTTAATTTGATCCACCACAAATAAATATATGCGTGCGAGTATGCGGGTGTGTGTGGGTGGGTAGGTGGGTGGGCTGGGTATGCATGCTAGTGGCACGGCTGCACAAATGGTGTGTCGGCTGTCCTGCTGCGCAAATGTGAGGTTGCCTGCTTAAAGCAATGTCGGAGTGGTCTTGCATGGACCTTTCATCGTGCTCACGTTATGACATGTGCACGTGCGCATGCCAGCTCTAGTGCTCTGAGCCTGCTTGCAAGCAACTGCATACGTCAGAGCAACCATCAAGACCGCTTTGGCGAAGCGTGCCACAAAGGCGTTGCCTCTGACACGTCCATGGCTTGTTGGAAGGCTTCAAAGAGATTGGAAGTGACGAGCCGGATAAAGATTTGTCAAGTGTCAAAAGCTGGGATAGAAGCAAGGTGCGAAACATCCAAACATAATCAAGGACTTCAACTCTCCATTGTTTTCCCAACATTTGAGCAAGGGTGCAGGTGACGCAATCAGACCATCTGCATGCTTTGTTCAAGAGATGGTGGCGTTTCTGCCGTTCACTGCTTTGCAGCAGCTGCAGAATTGGCAGCCTCAGCACAAGTGGAGAAGGTCTTGAATTGAAGGGGCGAGGTTCTCAGCCAGCCACAGGGCAGCAACGCCTGCACTCATTGGCACACACAAATGCAACAAGCACGTCGGCATGGGCCAGCAACAGGAGCAACGTGCACACGGCTGGAGCTAGGGCCTGAAGGAACGCGGATAGCCTGGCCCACAAAATGGATGCTTTTCGCGTGGCACAACCCAAACAATTCTGGTGGCACACGGGTACCACCGCTGGAGTTGTCCCTCTGCTGGCATTTTGAAGCGGAAAAGTAGGACCAGCCATCCTACGTCAAGGCGAAGGAGGTCGGCCTCGACTGTGCCGAAGGAACCACCGCAGGAGCTTCGTATTCCTCCACTTCCTGGGTTTGAGAGGAGCGAGAGAGAACGCGAGAGAGAGGAGAGAGATCGCGAGCGAGAGAGCGAGGGAGGGAGAGAGCGAGGGAAGGACGGAGCGAGGGAGGAAGCGAGGGAGAGGGGGAGACGGAGGGGAGAGCGAGAGGGGGAGGGGCAGAGAGAACGAACGAACGAGCTTGAAGCAAAAGGACATCTGCCATATGTTCCCCACACACCTTTGCTTGAATCAAGCAACGTGCAAAGGATTCCAACTAAGGTCTTTGCCACAGGCTCCTTGCCCAGTGTGGGGTGAAGGCCTCAATCCACAACAAACCAACTCACTCAAGGTGGCAATGATCTAAAAGAGCACACGTCCCTTTTGCTGCAAGCACTGGCACTAGCGCTGTCAGCATGCGCGACTTGCTGGGCGCAACACATTTCTCCTTGCCTGTTTGGAACCATCCGGCCTCCAGCATACAATGCAGAACCGGCTTGACTAAGGGGGAGCCTCCATTCTTCGACTCTTTGCTTATGCTATCAGAGTATATGTGCGTGCGCAAAACTTGTGTGGCTGGTGGCCAGACATACTGCCGACATCTGTCTAGAAAACCATCAATGGTCCTTGTGGATCCAGTTCCAATTATCTGGCTTTTTACTGGTCTGTTTGCAACGAAGACCCTTCGACATTTTGATCAAGAAGAGCCTGCTCATAGACCCGGTTGGCGGGGTTGCTCTTGGTGCACCTTGCCGGGGC